AAAACTAAAAGGTTGATGCTGTACGATTAAATGATTAAGATAAGAATTGTGTATGATTTTTTGAGACTAGAATTGAATTAAACGTTTTATTTACTTTTTTAAAATAAAAATATCGTTCAATGTTGGATATGTTCAATGATAAAGAAGAAAATTATATTATCTAAATCTAATTGTTCATTATATTTCTAACAGCATGATTTTAACAAAGAACACCAACTTTTTAACTTTATCAACTGCAATCTCTCTCTCATTTTATACAACAGAATTCTAATTTTGTCTGGATGCTAATTTTTTTGAACTTGATCAAAACTAGAATTTTAATATGTCCACAACATATACTTATATCTATATACGATCAAAAAACAGCCGAAATGACCCGAATTAAAACATAATGGGATAAATATACGTTACAGTAGTATGGACCAAGTGCCCTAGTCAAAATCGTATGCACTTCTTATCTGTTTCCTACTAGGATAGTAGACTCTGTTATGATCAGTTTAGGATTCTAATAAGTTCATAGCAGGATCTTCGATGCTAGGTTCCTGCCAAGAATCTGGGGTGGATCTTAACATTTAAGATCGTGCCCGGACTTTTTTTCTTAATAAAGAAGGATACTTAATATCAGGTTAAAGTAATAAGAAATATACGAGCCCATTTTAAATGTGTTTTAGAATTACAAAGAAAAACCTGGTAACTTTTTGGTCTAACTGAGGCTGTTCATACATTGCGAAAGGGTATTTTATATTATGATTCAGTCATCGCATTTTCTTGTTAAGATTCTATTCGGATCCTGACAAAACCCTAGCAAATCCTACGACTTTCCGGTATACCTTATTTCTTTAGGACTGTAGGCTTTTTCTATCTTACCAAAAATCTTGCTATCCTACCAAAAAGCAAGCTAAATCCTAAGAGGATTGATTTGATTTGACTTGATTTTTATTTAACAACAAAAAGATAACAAAGAAAACAATAATAGAATGTTGCAAGGATAACAGAAAAGCGGGAAGGGCCCTTATGAAAGAGGATCCTACCAGAATTTTTTAAGGCTCCAATCAGGAAATGTATAGGTTTCTTACTAGGGTGAAGGTATGGCAGAGTTGTAACCGGTCTAAAAATAAGAGGCCGGACCGGGCCTGCCGGTCCAAAAATCGGTTTAGACTGGTGAAAAACCGGCAAAAGACCTGCCGGTTTTGAAAAATTATCTAGACTGACTAAAAAGTGGCAAAAGAACGGCTGGTTTTGAAAAAAATTTTAGACCGGTGAAAAAACGGCAGAAAGCCGGCCGGTTTTCAAAGATTTTCTAGACAGACAAGGGGGTAGAAAAACTCACTTTTTTTAGTGTAGAAGAGAAAATTTCTAAGAATTTCAAAATCGGCAAAAAACTTGTCAGTCACTGGTCGGCCTGAAAATCTTTTTAGACCGGCAAAAGACCGGTCGGTCTAAACTTTTACACCGGAACGGACCGCCTCGGTTACAACTCTGGATTAAAGACGTGCAACCTGATCGGTACCCGACCCGAAGGTTGGGTACGGACAGACGTTGACGGGTACGGATAGAGCAGTTACCAGTACGGATTCCGTTCTTTTTAATTTACCGGAAAACCAGAAGATTTTAGTGGAAAACCACAACATTTTAGTGGGAATTCCAAGATTCTATGTATGACGTTTTAAAAGAGTTACTTGAGAACGTAATGAGAACTTGAGGAATGTTCCAGTTCAAGGTTCATCGTGATATATTTCATTGAACTTTGAACGACAATATTTTGATTTTTCATGGAACAACAGTCTCGTCTTTCAAAAATTGATCAGGTATGCATTGCACGGCAACTTGATTTTTATACAGAGGATTCTTAAGCCAGAAAACTATAACTTCGACACGTATGAATTCATTATGAAGATTGTGAAAACATGTTTGATAATTAGTGTTACTGAATGTAAAAGATGATAGAAGCACAATGACAGTTTACTATTTCTTCGTTTAACATAATGCATGTATTGAAAAACTAAATTTAATGTGTATATTAGACAAGAATATAGTTCCAAATGCATTCATAAGTGCAGTATTTTGATTTTTTTCTGACTGTTTTGAATTTTTTCACAATAAATATACATGACGGAAAATGAGACAAACGTTATGGAACGCGTTTCTGAAAAACGCGTGAAAACGGGTAAAAAGCGGAAGCTTCGCGATGCGTTTTTTTGCGGTTTCTAACGATCTTTTTGTGCTGTATTTTTTTGAGATTTTAACCATCAGATTTGAATTTTTTCCAGAACTAATGTGATATTCGGAATCATCATCAAAAACTGACTAGAATGCGGTAGAATATGTTTGATTTACAACATTCAAAACTTTCGTGTGATCTCTCAAAAACGAAAATTTTTTCCATAAAAGAAACTTTTTGACTGCTTTTGCATACGAATCAGTTAAATATGAGTACATTTGAGTCAACCAACATATACCAATCAGAAATGTTTCACGTATTAACGTTCGAATAATGTCTCTTACTGCTTTTTCCGTATTTGCGAAATCACTCGTCACTCTATATAACAGCGACTGGACGGTTCCAATCCAGTCTCGCGTAGGTTTGCATGGTTTAAAAGACAATACCATGTACGAAAACACTTCTGTCAAACAGATAAATAGGCTCGCCATGTGATAACGACGTTCCCATTGATAGTACTTCCCTTCGATCTGTCGGTATGTCAAACCAGAATATTCTACCGGAAAATAGCCATCGACTTCAGATCAACAAGAAATCATTCCGAGAAAGTTCTCCGCAAAAAATAGTCCAGAAAAACAGCGTGATTATGAGTCCCGTACTACTCAATCGATATCCGAGTATTTGACTAATATTTTAGAGGTAGCATATCCCGGAAAATGTCCCCTCCCCAAACGTTCAAGGACATAATATAGTTAAAGAATTGTAGGACCTTTCCTAGTTCGATGTGACACACGTGTACAACTGTGATCTCTCCCATTTTGAGGGTGTATGTCACAAAGGTCAGGTGTTATATTGGACATGAACATACTTCTGCAGTGAGTTTTTCTTCCTGGCATTCTTCCGTGTATTTTGAGAGAAACGGCCTTTTGATCCTCTTAATTTTATTTTTAAAAAGCTTCTCCCAAGCGTGGCATCCTTCTTGGAAAAAAGCATGTTTACCTCCTGCCTTTTATCTTTCGACACACCCTTGAACGATTAGGATGATCTGGCAACATTTCTCTCAAACCTATTCTTTTTCTCATCGCTTTTTGCCACTTTGGACATATTTAAACTCTCGACGAGGCTTTTCAAATCTCTTCTCCAGTTATCGATTATAATTGCAGGATTTGGTGCATCCCTATTTATACCGCACGCGTACAGCTGTCTGGAAATCCGTAGACTTAAATGATTCTATCTTTTTTTAGAAGTTATTAATACGTTAGTTGATCACTATTGTTTAAAAGTATGCAGTGTCAATACTTTAATTAATTATTGCTGAGCAAAAATACAATATTTCCAAGCATATTAGAATGAAATATTTTTTTGTCATTCATTTTTTTAATGTTTTTTAATTTAGTTAATTGTTAGAGTATATTTTTATGCCAACTAATGGCAGTGTCATCCTAGATAATAGATTTATTAGATGCCGCTTTTCGAAAAAAAGTATAATAGTAATCGTTTCGCTCTACGTGTATTTTACTTTTTCATTTAATTTTTGAAAAACAGAAATTTAGAAAATAGGAAAAGCAAATTATTCAAACTCAAAATCTAGAGTTACGTTCGTACATACATACACCTACTCGAAATTACGACCTACTCGAATTATTTTCTCACTGGTCTCTCTGTATATGAGAGGTAGACTTGTCTATGACTAGACTTGTAGTTCTACTCTGGCTACCTGAGATCACCCCTCTATATGAAATATCAGATGAACAATACTCATGAGTATTTTGCCGAAAGTTGTATGAGTACGTATGAGTACTCGTCCGGTTTTTCTAGCAGAGTACTTTTTGAGTACTCACACTTGAGTACATTCACTAGAGCAGTGTTTTGAGCATTAGAGGTAACAATAGACAAGTCAGTTTTTCAAGGTATTCGCGACGACGCTTTTATCGCCAAAAGAAACCATTAGAAATTTTACGAGATCTCTTAGTATGAAGAGAACATTTTGTTCAATCAGAGTATGTATTACAAAAAAATGTGAGGGTACTGTATTTATCCATTTGTAGCTTACCTAAAATTGACAAATTTTCTATTCCATCAATCCTTCTTTTATATGTTCATCCAATACTTGGAACTCTTCTTCTTCGGTCAGTGACAAGTCTACTTCCCGGGTACATCACTTGTGTTATCTACTAATTTGGCTCTAAATACTGTACCCATTGAAAATTTCTTCTCCCGAGATCATTCAACTCTAAATATTAGAAAAACGACTTTTTGTCTTTAATGTTGAGCACCGTAAAGCGGTACCATATATTATCTTTAGTTTTTATTGTAGAATTTTGGTACACTTAAATTCTACATATTTAAGGATGACATTTGATCTGATCTTGTCTTAAACATATGTTCCATATAAGTGCATTAACGTTTATATTCTGTTCTGCTCTTATGATTAGCTAATCTATGAAATACTCTTCAGTCATTTTTCGATGTTTTGTGAACACTGTATAGCACTGTAAATTTGAAAAAAGAAAAGTCCGTGGTGTTTTCACATGCTTTTCTCTGAATCACATACAAAAGTTCGTTCTCTTATTGAGTAAGGTCTGTGAAATATGACAGAATGTAGTGACGATCATTTCGGTCCTGTCTGGCGCAGAGAGAATAGTGGTACAGTCAGAGCACCTCAATCACAGGATGCTAGAATGGCTCTAACAACGAACTGATCCAAGATACATTCACTCGAAGTCTGAGTGTGAATGTTTTCTGCACATACAGCAAAAGCTATCTTATCGATTAATCATTTATTTCAGCTAGTATATATGCCCTGTTTTTTACATTGCAGATGAGTTCACATCAATCGATGAGGCCACCGCCTCCGATCCCTGCAAAACCCGGGCAGGTATCGATTGTAAAAGCGTTATACAGTTATACGGGTACTGATATTCTCTACTTTTCGTATTATTATTGTCGTGGCTTTGTTTATTTTGGTTTGTAATTAGCACGTTCAAAAGAAGAGCTATCGTTTGAAGAAGGTGACATACTGTATATAACCGATGATGTAAAACATAAAGTTAGTAATCATTTTGTTTCTTGTCAGAATATTATTTTAATGAAATTAAATCAACTTCTCTAGGACTGGTATGTAGCAACAACATCCGCTAATCGCGCAAGTGGTCTTGTGCCAAAAAATTACGGTATGAAGAAATTCCAAAAAAAAAGGAATTATTTGTATATATTAGTCGTCATTTCTTTTTAAAAGTTGAACAAAGCACGGAAAAATTAGAAAATGCATTACACGACGCTGCGAAACGAGGAAATATTGAATTTTTACAACAAGCACTTGCAAACAAGGTTCGTAAACATTGTAATCTTTTATGTTTCTTTTATTCTAATTATTTGCTTGTTTAGGCATCAGTAATTGGTTTAGATAAAGCGGGAAACACTCCACTTCATTGGGGTGCTTACGGTGGATACGTTGAATGTTTAAAATTGCTATTACCGTTATCGGCCTCAATAATTAATCAGAGGGTGCGTCTATTGACAGATTTGGCTTTGTGATAAATATTTATCATTTTTTGTGTTAGAATAATGTGGGTGATACACCACTTCATCTAGCTTGCTGGAAAAATCATGCTCCTATCGTTCAGATGTTATTAGACAGCAGTAAGTTTTCACAATCCAATGAAAGACGCATTATAATTTCTAATTTATTTAAGGAGCTGACAAAAATATTCGGAATCAAGATGGTAAACTACCTATTGATTTGACGCATGATTCAGATGTTCGATCCATTCTTGAAGATAAAGGTATTTCTTTTCTCAAATAAAACAGAAACTTGACTTTTTTCTTTTCTTTTAGTCATTTTTTCTAATTTTAAACAACGTGATGTAGAAAATGATGATGAAGATTCAGATTAAGTATTTCGAACTTTTTTCTTGTGATACTAATCTAACATTCCTTATTGTGCTATTTTTTACTTTGTACAAAGCGTGTGTTCTTTTTTTTTTTTGTACGATTTTCAGGTATCGTATAATGTTATTTGTCTTACAGTACAGAACAATGTGTCTGTCTAGAAATAGGTAGTGGTGCCGTATAAATCATATGACTATCCTTTTGTTATTCTTGAGAATTTTGCATTCCATTTCGATTTCTCGATTGCTATGCTTCTTCTTATTGTTTCAGCTATTATATAGTTTCTTTTGAGCAGTTGTAACTTTTTTTCTCTTCTTGTTGATCTCGTGTACAATAGGACAAGATCATCTCTGATATGATTATATTAAATACTTTCTATTAGATAGATGGGCATAAAGTTCCTCATTAGTCTGTCATTTGGTATCAAAATTAGATCTTTTATTGTGACTTTCTCCTCTTTAAGAATAAAAGAAAAATTATTTGTACATTATAGTGATGTGTATAAAATACAGAGAATAAATAGATAAAAATTCGACAATATTCTAGTCAATGATGATGATGTATTATTAGTTCTATAACTAAGACGAATTATTGGTACTTGTTGATAATTCATTGATGTACACTGTCCTATAAAAGAAAGAAAAAAAAAATAGAATGTTAGAACATCGTATGTAGTGTAGATACGCACCTGTATAACTTAAACTGTTTTCTACGCCATTTTTATAAATAGAATGAACGTCATTACAACTATGGCCATAGAGAATCCATGATGCTTTCATTTTTTGGGTTGGATGAATCTAAATACGTTGATTTTTCTTTTCCTATCCACTTATTCTGTTGTAAGATACTTACTAGACAAAAAGATCTTGATTGTTCGTATACTACTAATGTTTTTTGAAATACTTTATCTGACCATGTCGCTAGACAAGTACCTTTGATAGCTGTTATAACCTGAACGTCTAAAGTATAAATCACTTGATAAAAAAGAACCTATTATTCGAATCAGATCTTTTAAAATGATTTACCAGGAACTATTTCATGACTACAACTCGTTGTAAATGTTAATTGATTTGATTTTTCACAACCATTTAATAATGTCCATACTCCACCATTTGTACACGCTGAAATTTGAATCAATGGTCGATAATTACTAGTTGACTTATAAATACCACTTTGTGGACATGTGGATGTTTGATCCGTTAAAATGTCAAAGTTGAGCGGTCGTTGTTCTATAAAATAAAAATAGATTATTGAATTCACATCCCATTGAAATGATTGTATTTAATTAACCTTACTAAATAATGTGTAGGAGGATGTATCACTTTTTTGTTGTTGATATAAGAATTTATTTTCTTTGCAACCCTGTTCACCAGTTACTAAAAGTATTTGAAACAAAAAGAGAGTCAGATAGGACTCTATTGAATATTTGATCAACAGAACTTACCCAAAGAAATATCGATTACTAGATGTGATCGAAATGTCAATGTGATACAATATGTTAGTGATGTGCTGTAAACAGAAATCAATGAAATTACTTAACATAGAGTCTCGATTTTCAATGTATCTATACCAATGTTGTAATGCTTTTCCTTTAATACGAATCATTGTCTGATTCTGTAGTTCATCATCATTTTTTTTATAATGAAGTAATTTAATTAATTTAAATTCATGTATATGCCTTCCATTTGAGTAAAGAATGATTTGTGTATCACTAATATGAAAATGTTTTCCACTACCTCCGACAACTGTCCAATTACCAGTAGCCCATTGTGGTAGAGAAAAATTTGGATCGGATTTTGTTAAAGGAGTTGAGTCAACCGTGAATACGGTTGCTGATTCTCTTGATAGTAAATCTCGACATGAATCATCGGACGATAAATAGAGTTCGAGTGGATGATGATCATCATATTTTGTTTTTGTATATGTCTAAAAAGACAAATGAGATGTGCAATTGAAGAAAATGTGAAAAGTCATTGAAAAAGCTTACAAAACAAACAAATTTTTTTCCATTATTGCTCCTAGCAACAACATAATTATTAGGACCGTCGGACCAAACAGCCATACACTTTGCAATGACATCTAAAGAAAGATCAACATAGTAGCTTTAGAAATATATATATATATATATATGGATAAATAAAGTTTTCCTTTTATAAATTAATTGTGCACTTTAGAAATTTCTAATGAAGTGAAATTAGCACATCATTTTTATTTTTCTATCATAGAACGGCTATTTCTACTGCTTACTTTTTTGTCCTCATACCTTTATTAATGTTACATTTATTGTACGTTAAACTGAACGAATCCGATGATAAACAGTTGTGAAATGCTTTTGGTCTACATTCATGATTATTTTCATGAGCACGCTTTAATTTCCATAATTCGTTAATTGGACATTCGATTGGTTGAAAATCATCTATAACAAGCGTTGAATACCTATGTACTTTGCATGTCTATATGAATAGAAACACTAGAAGAAACTGCCCCTGCTGTTTATCTCTTTCGTGTTTTAAAAATAGAAAATAAGCATGACAGGTCTTTACTGGCTGTTTCTTCCAATGTTAAGTTTTAGATTTACGTCAATTTAATTAAAACTTCAATAGGCTTAGAAACAGCGTTTATTGAACACATTTTCAACTTCCTCCTTCTCCATGTTCTCCTCTGCATGTACTGTATGTCAGATTTAATTATTATTCTTTCAAAATAAATGGTTACATTCTCTTTTCAAGTTAATCTTTGCCTGTAGATAATTTAGTTATTTTTGTGGGTAAAAGCGCGAAATATAGTCTATATATAATTGAACTGCTAATTTCCTGTGTTTACATAGATCAATGAACATTTTAGTTAGTCTATGTCCATATAGAACTTAATGATAGAAAAGCCGCCGGACACTTTCTTTTTTTCTTTAGTTGTCACACAATCATACATAGGCAAGGAGTGTCATAGAGTTAGAACTATTTGTTAATTATACTTACCACGAAAAACTGTAAACATTGGTGTATCTGGTGTTAAAGAGTTACATATTCGATCGGCGGGATCATCAAATTCGTAGCATTCACCTAAACATGAAGTAAAATATCAGCAGGTGAAAACTATTCATTATACATTTCAGTCTTTTTAACGTTTCATTGACAATTTTGCTCGTTTCATCTTTAACAAATCACGGAGTTTATCAGCTTCTTGTCTAGATAGTCTAATTTCTAAGAGTGGGAAAATCCTACTAAACCGTACAATTTCATGACCACTGTCTCAGAGAGCGAGAGATAGATATTTGATTTAACTACAGGATATACCAGATAGAACGAAATAAATATGTATGAACAGAAGTTAATTGCCCTTGTTATTATACATATCTAATACATTGTTTGCTATTTAATATTTCAGTCTAAAAAAAGCATTTCAGAAAAGATGTTATTATATTTAAGAAGTTTAATTATTATATAGAGAAAGCGTTAACATCATACACGCTTTCATTCTTTCTTCTGTTAATGACACGATACTATTATTCATTTCTTTTTAAACGGAAATATTTTTCTTAAAAAAAAAGAGTATACGTTATGCTTGTCTTCTATTCATTTAACATGAAAATTATATTTCTAACATTGTTATACGTGACAGTAATGAAAGGAGAAAGAATTATGTTCTACTTAAATAAAAAAAGAATCAGCACGAATTTGACCTCCTATCAATGGTAACTAGATACTCTTCTATAACACGTAATCCATAGATGCATCTCTGGACACCGATCATACAAGTACTTGTCCAAACAGGAAAACGTACATGACTGATCACAATTAAATTTTGTTTTGACATAAACAATAATCAATTATTATTATAAGATATGTATACTTACTCTCGCGATATTGTAGAGCATTGATATGACGTTGAATAAATAATATGCAACGTTTACATCGTGCTTGACTGAAATGATAAACAATAAATATTATGCTATTATCATAAATGTACGAAGATAAAAGGAACATAAACTAGAGAGAGACGTTCAATCAGTTAATGTTCTTAACAATATCGAGCTGAGAAAGTCCAATTTGGACGTTAAGTTTTCGTTATGCATCGGATTTTTATAATAAACTAAAAACAGAAAAAAGTGGCCAGAATTTCGGTGTACAGTTTTTATTTAGTTTGCGTTCGGTTGCTCTTGAAATTGTTCGTTTTGATCTGATGATGAACGTTTTCAGTGTACAATTATAAAAATTCTTATGTCTCTAACGTACCGATGCACTCATTGTGAAATTTGCTTTACGTTTCTGTTCAATGCATGATTAAAACTCTTTAAAAGAACTAAATCGAGGTCATTCCGTCGCGTAGTCACTTTATAGACATAAATGTTTGACGTGTTCATTTTGTTCTCTTTTTCCCGCTGTTAAATTCATTTATTGAAAGAAAGTTTCTCTTTTCGTATTAGACATGGATATAAAAGAATTGTCATTGAACGCATTTCAGATTTAACTCAACTCTATATTTGTTGACAATTGCACTTATAACTGGTGCATTGTATAGACTTTCATTGTCTCAATATATATATATATAATATAATAGAGATGAGAGAGTATTTTTACTAAATTGTCTCTATTATTATTATCAAGTAGATTCTCATTGCGTCAGTAGTTAAACACACGCGTATATACTGTCTCCCTCTTGATAGTTGAAGTGAGAGAAATGACTTAAATATATTACATCAATAGACGGGAATAGAGAACACCTGTATATGTATACGTACTCATTATAAAATATAAATTTGTTTATTGCATCTTGTTCTATACATGTTCCTTTCGATGTTGCATACGTTTCATTAATATAAATTAATTCGTTAATATCTGATTGAAACCATTTACCGATAAGTGGATAAGTTAGATTGCAACTAGATGATGAAGATGATGATAGACCTAGAACAGATAAATCAATACTAACCATAATAATAACATGTATACATCAATGAACGACACACCGCTATTCTTTGAACGGTGATAATAATCTCGCTTAACCCATTTGATCTTATAATTAGTAGATAAATAACCAGAAGGAACAAGTTGAAAGATGGTGTCTTTCGTGATAAGAAAAATGAATCCTGAAGATTTCAAGATATTATCTTAACCAGGTAGATGACAGCTATTTGAAAGTGACCAAATTTATAATCTAACAAACTGAAAAAAACAATAGGAACTATATGAATAATTAAGCTATAACTAGGGAAATGATAATAAATTCTCTTATGATGTACTCTTGATCAGATTCATCAATCACTTGATATTCTTCATTGAACAGATTTTATTTAAAATTATATTTCAAAATATCGTTTTTCATTACGTAAAGATTAAGTGGCAACAGATGGTGTCACTAATTCATCATCTGCTAAGACTAAACAAAATATAAACAAGTGTTTTTTCATCCGGAAGGTACAGGTCGCGTTTGTTTTTGTTTCATAACGTATCGTAAAAGAAACGACAAAATCATAGTATTGAACCGCTATAGAAAGCGAGAGTTTAATGAACCGAAGCATAGAATGTATTTAGTACTAACATTTAGTGTAATTAACAATCAAATATCCATTTATTATTTTCTTTTCCATCATATATAGTCAATAATTAGAGTATAAACCGTTCATGATACAAAAAAAAAAAAAAATAGAAAAGCTTCGCAATTCAACGTGTTTTTTAATACGGAAATTGAAAATAATGTTCAAAACAACATCATTTATTATTTTTAGTCGAGAGACACAAAACTATAACAAATCGTATCACTGGAGGGCTTTATGCACAATTGACTTCTTTAGCGAGCGACTGAGTGCAACTGGTTATTAAAAAACATTCTGGAGCATAATTTTGTGTTCTTTTCATATAACAGAAATGTTCAGTTGTCCAAAAAATCCCTTGATAATTGGACATGGTTTAATAGGTTTTCCCTATTCAAAATCTCCATTTAGCAATATTTTCATACTGAAAAAAAAAATGTATCTCAGCAATTCCATATGTGTTATTATTCTACTCTCAAAAATTGTGTTGATTCAAAAATCAATTTCACTTTTAAGTATTATTATACGAGTAGATTCAAGAGATTTCTTTTCTTTCTTGGAATATATTATGAAATAGTCCGTGAAGTCAATTTATTATGTATATATCATTTGATGTTAAAACAATTATATACATTAATATTTTAATTTATCTAACGAAACGAAAAACTTATTTCTCCATGTTCATTTGTTTCATTCATAAAAAATTGAACTCTACTAAAAATAAATAAGTTGATCTTCCATATCAATTTAACATAAAATTGTATAATATAACTAATTAGATTCTACAACTCAACTTCTTTTTACTTCATAATTCAAGTAGTATACAAATTTAGTAGATGTGATAATGAGAATAAATTGTGTAATCTAATATGAGTAATTTTATGGAAAAGTAAAGATTGTAAAATATATTACAAATTCTCACAGAATTTTAGGTAAGATAATTATTAAGAGTAAATTACTTAAAATAGATCTGAAAATGGAATTTACAAGAGTATAGCTTACACAAAATGAGTAAGATAGTCAACAACAATCATTTTTTTCACACATTTTAATATTCTAGTTGATCCCTAAGGTAAAGTAATGTTAAATTTGTGGAAATACAGCACAATATTAAACTTGAATAATAAAACTAAAATGTTCACAAACCTTTTATATAACTGATCATGAGTAAATTTGTTGTAAATAATAATATTCTATTCGATTTGCTTTTCATTATGCCCATTCATCATTGCCATCATTTGATTTCCATTAATAACGAACACGAGTTCAATTTTAACGGTTCAATCTTTAATAGTAGACGTTTTTTTTTATTCACGCACGGTTAATAATTAATGAATAAAATCAATTGATAAAATTTCTAAAATAAAAAGTAACATTTATATCAACCTAATATCAAAAGTAACATTGAACTAAGAACAGATTCAGGATGATGAAACATCTTTCATGTTTATTCGTTTAGATGAGAGCACCTGTTGCAGTAAGAAAGAAAATTGTACCTATGTGTCACTTACTCTTGTCACTTGACGTTGAAACATCTGAAAAAATTGTCACTCTTCTCTCTGTCTCTTTTAGTACTGAAATTTTCCTTTTTTTTAATTGTAAAAATACTCTTTCTTTCGTTCTTCCTTTCTTTTTCTTCTTTTCTCGTCAATTCATTTTTCTTTCTTTCTACCATTTTATTTAGTTGAAGGAGGAAAAGATGTACGGAGAATGATTTTTATATGTGAACAATAATTATATCTATCGCTACATCGATATAGAGATAGATAAGTGACAAGTATATCTCATATTTTCAAGCAATTTAAGAGGAGAAGACGAGAAAGAAAAAAAGAAATACCCTTTGCGTGTTATGATCATCGCCGACCGAACCATTATGATAATTCTAATTAGTAAATGGATTTTTGATATTTAAAAATGCTTTTATATACTCAGATTTTTCCATTGGAAGGATTTGTGTGTGTATGTGTATGAGGAAAACAGAATGTTGGTGGTTTTTTTGCATAAATGAACAGTGAATGCAAAAGAAAGAAACAGGTTTGATTATAATGAAAATAAAGACAAAAGAATGATACGTACACATTTATTTCCTCATTCTCTAGCCACGATGATAATCATTTGACACATCCAAAAGTAAAGTTTATAGAAATGTGAACAATCATCTCAATCTAAAGTTAAACAATATTCATTATTATCTCATTTATCCATCTCTACTTTCTTTTTGCTTTTTACAACTTTACCCTCACTCTCACCGTTCTTTGGCAATATCCATTCATATTATGACGAATTATTTCGTTTTTCTCTCATTGTCATACGGTGCTAATGAATGTTGATTTATATGTGTATCGGTCACTACAACCATTATTACTGAAAGAACACGAGTGAACTGGTATATAATCAGATTATTAATTGACATCACGCACACGCCCTCAATTAAACAATGGATATTCATATAAAATTCTTTTTCTAATAAAGTTTAAACCGAATAGATGCGCTTGGACAATAATGTGCGCACGATTTAAGTCATCTATATCGGTTAGTTGATCTCTTCAATTTAATGTTCTATTTAAATGTTGTTAAGTTTAAGCTCAAAACACAGCACAGAATGTAGGTTGCGATCATG